CCCCAAAACCCCAAAACCCCAAAACCCCAAAACCCCAAAACCCCAAAACCCCAAAACCCCGTAACCTTCTGAACTTGTGGAATATAATAAATGGTTGCTAAGAGACATAAGAAAAGAGTTTTCAGGAAGCACTCGTCATTCTTTCAGAAAATATCTGGCTTCCTCAGGACATTTGATATTTATGGAAAGAACATTGTTTTGACTTATAATGGGGAGGATAAGTACACTACCCTCATTGGTGGGGTCAGTAAGTCATGGATCTCAATTTATGCAAGGAATTTAACTTATATTCACATTTCGGCTCTGATGAGAGAAGCTAATCTATGAGTCTTTCTCATCATAGCTGATATATGCTTTGGTTCGTTTAATTTGGAAAGTTCAAATCACCATTTCTGATATATAAGGAAAATATAAACTATGGTTAATTCTAAGAAATACAATTTTTTAAGAAAGTAATAGCATCTAAGCAAAAGCGATGCTGTTTATTTTTGAAGGATGGGGCTAGCTTTGGTATAACTCTAAAGCTCTTTGGGCAAGCAGATTTTACCACCTAATTTGGGTGGGCTAAATGGTTTTTGGTCTTGGGGGTGATCGTGATATTAAAATTTACACTCTTTAGTTTAAACCTAACTCTTCTATAGCGTCTATCTTAGTGAGCCTTATCATTCTTACCTACGGGACATATCTAGCACTGCTGCTGATTAATAAGGATAACACTAGATTTGCCAGGGCTTCATTGCTAAATGACTTGTATTCCAACACTGATTTGCACAAGCCAGCTGCTCATTCTTATGAAATTGACACAGGCCATTCTCAATTCGATCTTGCATTTAAATTCGAAGCTGGAGATATTAACCTGGCCAATGATCCATCAGCTTTTGTGCTTACTATAAATCATGTCATGCAAGAATGGGTGACTGAAAATGGGATAAGGACTACCAAGAGGACTTACACGAATATAGAATTTCAGAAGTGAGGGTCAACCCATTTAAACTATAAAGACTTGGATGAGATATACAGACTAGGAATTGATGACTATTACTGCTTCAAGAATAAGAACTATTCCATTGGTGGAAGCTATTACTCTGAGAAATATAGTTATCTTGAAATGAAATTAAGAAAGTGAACTGGAGACTCTTCAAACTGTAGAAATGATACTGAGCTTGTTGATTTGATCAAGAAATCAAGATTCTCAATAGCCATAGTAAACGCTATTGTTAATTTAAAGGATTATAAGAACCCGATTCAGCACATGATCGACGATGGATTGTATTGGGAATTAATCCCGAATTTTCGTAAAAAGACAGATATTTTCCTTCGCAAAAACGAGGCTTCATTCGAAGATAATTATGTCCAACTCGGTTTTCCTCAAGAGGCAGAATTCTATCAAGTAGCAGAGACTACAGATAGGCTTGAGAGCGAATCAACAGAAGGTGATATGCTATCAATCTACCTCCGAATTGATAAAATAACAGACATCTATGAACGTCAGATCTACTCCATTGGTGAACTCCTTGGCCAAACAGGAGGCTTCTATGGTGCCCTGATCGGATTTGGCTCTCTCTTCCTGACTATCTTTTCTGAACGGCTCTTCGTCAGCTCAGTGCTGAGGAAGATCTATCAAATAGACTCTTGGCAAGAAAAGGAGATGCTTGATAAGAAATTGAGAGACCAGCATTGGAAAGAGTACAAAAATCAATCCATTCAGTATAAGTCAGATGGGAGAAAAGTAAAGATCCCTAACACAGAATCAGAGAAGTTCCATTCTCAGACTTTCGGAGATATTAAGAGGCTAGACTATTTTAAGAAATATCCTGGTCAAGATCAGTTTCAGAATGATATTCTTCAGAAGTGTGAACAGAGCATGAGAGAGCGTAAAGTGTTCAAGTATGGGTACAAAGATATCTTGCATTACTTGCTCTGATGAGCTTTTTGAAGGAGAAAGAGATCGATGAGGCTTAAGCCAGGATTTAGAGAACACCTTTACTTTGAAATTGGTCAAGAAAAGTTACTTGATGAACTTGATTGAATAACTATTATTAAGGCTGTCAGGCAGCTCAAGTTATTGACAGCAGTTTTGCTAAACAAACGACAAAAATTCTTAATGAAGTTCCAGCGCAACAATGTCATTGATAGTTCATCATCTGGGACTTCTGATGAAGGTCAAATGAACATCATCGACCTGATGGCCAGCAAGAACAAATAAGCATGTTGAGATTGTCAACAAGAAGATCAACAAAGTTATTGAGAGTTTCTGAGACAAGCCATTTCAGGAGATTGACAAGAGAGTCCTCAGTGGAATCATGAAAAAACGATTCTCAGATTCAGATGATGGAAAAGTCAATGATGACTCTGCAGAGAATATTCGATTTGGTATGCTAAGTAACCAAATTCTTACAATGATCTGACCACTTTATAGATGACACGCCTTCTCTGCATAAAAGAAGTAACCTTAACTCAATTCTTCCGTTGAAAAGCAGGTTTGAAACAGAAGAATCAATGGTGCATCCTCAGAAAGCTTCACGTCGTGATTTTGATTTTGTAAAATATAAAAAGAATTCTGAAGAGGATCCTTTGTAAAGAATGATTCCGTTTTATGAATTCAATTGACCTGATTCAACGAATTAACTCCTCCAAGGGGTTTTGGGGTTTTGGGGTTTTGGGGTTTTGGGG